CTAACAGTAGAGATAGAAAGCACTCACTAAGTGGTTAGTTCTTGTGTCATGAGCTGTGCAAGAGCATCACTTACATCCCTTCATTTAATTGCCAAGCAATCCAATGTCATAGATACTACATATCTCCATCCCTCCAAACCCCATTTGAAAGATGAGGAATATTGAGACCTAGAGAATTAAGTGATTTAAGATCATACAGCTACTAAAGGCGGAGGTGGGAGTTAAACAGGTGTGTCTGACTCCGTAGCCCATACTTTTAATCAAAAGTTCTCAAAGATGCCTGTGTATCCGAATCATGTGCCAATTACTACATCAGAACCTCCAGAAGTGGAGCTTCTTATCACTAGAGCTCTCAAGTAGATTTTGATGTAACCAGACCAAAGATTCAGGAAGCCCTCCTCTAAAATACTACACTATATTACCTTCTCAGTAAATGTCTGTTAAATGAATGAATGATGCCTGTAATTCTTTCACTAATAATCCATTCCTCCATAAAGGTGTGCTTTTAAGCAATGATCTTCAAAATGCAAAACTTTCTAAGAGGCTGTCTCTAACTTCTCTAATATCTTTATCAGAGACAGAAACCATTACAGAGAAACTCAGCCTCGGGGGCTGTAGGAGGTGCCTGATTAGGGATAGTGGAAGGCCTGAAGAGTAAGCTAAAATTCAAATATTTGATGCCTCACAGTGTTGCCTGGGGATACTGCTGCCTGACCATGCAACTAGGAGCTAGAAACGTAAGGCTCACTTAAAGTTCCCTCAAGTTTTTTATGTTGTAAAGCTCCCACAGAGATTGACCCTTAGTGGAACAAGGCTCCTATCCTTCCTCCTGATAATCTGGTGGGTAAGACATCATCAGTGGCAAAGACCTTGGGGTGTCCAGAAACATTCCACCTGTGTGCAGTGATACCTTCAGGCAGCCTCTTTTTTTGCACTCCTTCAAGAGTGATGTCCCTTGTCATGGCTGACAGCTTCTGTAGAAGCCTGGCCTTAAGCCACTTACACAAAGGCAGCAAGAGTATCCATCAGGCAATGAATGAATACATAAGATGCAGTTGATCCCTACAATAGAATATTATTCAGCAATAGAAATGAAGTATCAATCCATGCTACAACATGGATGAACCTGGAAAACATTATGCCAAAGATGTCACACACACAAAAAAAAAACATGTCATATGATTACACTTATACAAAACGTCCAGAATAGACAAATCCATAGGGACAAAACTAAATAGAGACAAAACACTAAATGGACTTAGTGGTTGCCTAGGGCTGAGAGAGCTGGGTGGAATGACGGCTAATAGGTATAGAGTTTCTTTTGGGGATGATGAAAATGCTCTAAAATTGATTGTGATGCTGTTTATGCAACCTTGTGAATATACTAAAAACCACTGAACTGTACATTTTAAAAGTGTGAATGTTACAGTATGTGACATATCGCAAAGAAGCTGTGAAAAGAAAAAAAAAAAGCAGCACAAGGAAACAAAAGAGATGCAGTAGAATTAGACTATGAGAATCATGAGATTGCTAGGCACCCATTACAACTGGAGAAGGGTTTGGAAAGTTCTCCTCCACCAGAGGGGTGTATAGGACTGTGGTTATGAAGTTGCTCACCTTAAGGCACCCATAGGCTGATGCTATCAATAACTTCCTGTGATGCTTTTTTCTCTTCTGAATGTGCATCTATTTTTTTTCACCTTTTCCTTTTCCTCACCCTTTGTGGAATTAAGTTCACAATACTTCCCAGGCTAAAAATACATAAAGTCCGGCACATAATATTACATTTTTAAGTAGAATTATAAATAAAGATGTAAAATGTATCTATTATGTCTGTCCCTTTGCACATTTTTGCTACAAGCAATTCTGTAGAACTCATAGTCGTTATTTACAATGGGAGAGAAGAAGGTTCAAACCAGTAGTAATGTTTAAAAATTGGGCATAATTCCGTCAATGACTCCATGTGTCAAAGTTGCCACTTTCTTTTTATCTCTTGAGGGTTGTATTACCTCTCACATGGACCATTAAAGCAGCCTAACTGACTTTCTTCCACCATCTTCCATAATACTGACAGTTACCTTCCTAAAATGCAAATACAAGGCAGTCCAGTCCGGAGAATAAGAGCTTGGTTCCCAGTCTCAGATTGCTTAGATTTGAATCTGAGCATCACCACCAATCAACTTGGTCAATTTAGGCAAGTTACCTAATCTTTCAGTTCATCATTTTTCCCTAAATTTTGTGAGAATTAAGTAAGAACAGTATGTTAAGCCCTTAGTCCAATGATGGACTCATTGTGAGCAGTCACTAGCAGCTCTTATTATTATTACATGTATGTTCAAATGCTGCCATGTTTCCTCATGCCTGTAAAATCCACTCCAAACTCCCTAGCTTATCTTGCAACAACCTTTGAAATCTCACCTCAGCCTCTCTTCTTCCATTTCACAACCTTTTCTGAATATACCAGGCAAATTTGTGGCTTCAGGTTTTTGCTCAAGTTCTTTCCTCTACCATTTCATATCTGCATTTGGAAAAGCCTGTTCTTCATTCAAGAAGACAACAATGAAGGGACTATAATGCTATTCCCAAGCTCCTTTTTTCTCTGTATTCCAGCAGCACTTTAGAGGTTTGAGGGAAATTGGCCAAAGAGGGTCATATTTTATAGACAAAGCAAGCAGAACTTCTTAGTGAACTGAATAAAAGACACAAGGAATAAAATAGAAGAAAATATAATTTCTAAGTTTGTATCTAGGACAACTGGACATGTGATTTTGCCATTCAATGATCTAGGGAAACCTGAGGAGAATAAGGTTTGGGGGTACTAATGTAATAAAGACATCTGTATTAGTTATGCTAGGTTTGAGATGCCAATCAGATATTCAAGTGGATTTGATAAGTAAAGTGTTGTATGTATATACAAGTCTGGTGTTTGCATAATGGTCGGGGCTATCGATATAGAACTGTGGGTCATAACTATATAGGAGGCCAGTGGAGGTCATCTGGAAAAGGCCAGAACAACAACAACATTTAGAAATCAAATACATACAGAGAGAAACCTATTTTTTATTTATATATATATATATATATATATATATATATATACACACACATACACACACACACACACGTGAATTTACTCACTCACTACCTACTTGAGCGTAAGTACTATCTTATTTATCCTTATGCCTATTGGTGCTTGTCACACAAATGTTCAGTATGTGCTTGCTGAATTCATTCCAAGACTAAAACCAGAAAAAAAAAAAAAAAAAAGATGGCCTCTCAGAGAGCTCGCAGCCCTGCACTTTAATAATTTGGCCAGATTTGCAAAGGAAGCATGAAGGACAACTCCAGCATCTAGCACAGGATGGAATGTGGTGGACAGTTCTATGACTGCTGCAGACAGTCTCATCCTTCCTATCTCCTAACCTCTCCCTGTCCCCTTCCCCTAGGGACATACTTCAAAGAGCACAGCTTCAGTGCTCATGAGCAGATGGCACAAAGCCCAGGGTCCCAGCATGCTTGTCAGTGCTAGATACAAGGGTCTTAAGAGAGTAGCAGCTGCTGGAGCATATGGGTGGTCAGCAGGAGTTCCCCTCAGCTCTGGACTGAAGCTCCTCAACACACACAGTGCCCAATTTTCTGAAAGGTTGCACGGGAAGCTTTCTCTAGGATCTTGTCATGTTTTTCCCATTGACTTTAATGATTTAGTGTTCCTATTCTTCTGGGCCCCTTATTCCTATGAAGTATTCAAGAATTTGTTAATCAAGACACATCCACCTACCCCTACCCCTTTTCTCTCCTCTTGCCACAATTCTGATTAGGCTTTCATCATTCTTTACCTGGACAAATTCAGTTGCTTTCTATCTGGTCTTCTTGCATTCATTCTCTCTCCATTCTGCCACTAGAATAACCACACCAAAGTACTGCTCTGTTAGGGCACACACCTGCCAAGAACTTCAACAGCTTCCCCATTGCTTAGTGAAAAAAAAAGCTTCCAACATTCTAAGCTTGAAATTCTAGGCCTCCCCGCCATCTATCCTTTCCAGGAAACCTTTCCAATATTAGTGCCCATCAACCACATTTGGGGGTGTAATTAATCAGTCCCTATTTCTTCCCACAAATAGTCACTGTGATTTCTCTCTGTTGTGTCTCAGCACCTGCTTTTTTCTTTGCCCAGGATGCTTCACCTGTTTCTCCATCTGTTATCATCTTACCCAATCCTCAAGTTCCAAGCCATTGGTGTCTTCTTCAGTGAGCCTTTCTTATTCAACCCAGATGGAAAGAGAGGTCACTATACTTCTGAAACAATTCATGCCTATTTTTTAAAAAAAACATTTATCAGATTATGGATGGTGATGTAAATAGATAGATAGGTGATTGATTGATAGATAGACAGATAGATAAATAGATAAATTTTTTCCCATTGGAACTCTGACTTATTTTTCTATTTCAACATTCTATACCTAGCACAGCATATGGAAGGAGCTCTAACAATATTGACTGATTGAATGAATGAATGAATATATGAGTGACTCAGTTAATCCAGTGATTCATTTATAGTTATTCTCCACTTCTCACAGTTTAGCTATTACATGTAATCCTGTCTCTATACATTGGGTTTGCTTAAAGTTGGGTCTCTCTGCCTTTTCTGGTCAACACATAGGTGACTTCCTTTAACGACCACGTTCCTTATGGTTGGAGTATGAGTGAGTGACATGGAGGAGATAAGGATAGAAGAGGAAGCAGTTTCAGGTAAAAAGAACGCTCCAAGGCATGAAAGAGATATGCTTACAGGTGAAGAATTTTAAGCAAGATATTGACATAATTAGATTAGCTATTTGAAAAATATCACTCTAAATTCATGTACAAGTGAACAGGAGATACTGAGGATAGGAGAGCCTCAGGAGGAGGCTCTTACAGGTAACTCAGGCTGAGAGTAGACTGACTGGCACTTAGACCAGGTCTTTGCCAAAACAATAACTACTATCTCTGCCTCTTCTCAGGGCTTCCAGGGCAGCGGTTGAGGAGACCTTACCAAGGAGCACCACACAGTAGATGCTGAGACATCGTACTCCAGGATAAGAGACAGTAACATGGCAGCACCTGCTTGAAAGAAATTAAAAACCAACAGACTCCATTTAGAAAGGAACAATGTCCAAAAAAGGGCGAAATAAGGGCGAGAAGCCCGAGGCACTCATTGTTGCCCTTCAAGCTGCCAATGAAGACCTCAGGACCAAGCTCACAGACATTCAGATAGAGCTGCATCAAGAGAAGTCCAAGGTGAGCGAGGGCTACCTGAGGCCGTGGCCTTAAGAGCAGCTCTGACTGTCCACATGCAGTGAGCACAGCTCTGCCTGCTGGCCCACCCCAGTGGACTCCCTGCCCTTTGCCAGAGAGGGCAACATCCCCTGTACACATGGAGAGCTTATTGTATGTGGCAGGAGGGAACTGAGCACAGGACACACAGAAAGTGAGAATAGCATGCTCACTTGACAGATCTCAGCCTCCTCTGGAAGCGTGGTTCAGGAAGCCAGATATGAAAATTCAGACAGTGTCCCCCTACCACCGCCAAGCACTTAATAGTTGCATGACCTTGGGCAAGTTCCACTCTTGCCCTCCAAAGGTTATACCTCCCAGAGCATTCAAAGCAGTCCTTCTGAAATGTACCACATCATGTTACTCCACTGCCCAATACCTTCCACTGGCTTCCTATCTCTCTTAGAGTCGAAGAACTTTCTCTACCATTACAGGATATTAGCTCCGGCCCCCTCTTTGACTCATCTCCCACTTCTCTCTCTCTTGATCACTCTGTTTCCTATTTTTGCTGGATCGAGAGAGAGACCCCAATCACATTTAGGGCCTTTGCACTTGTTCTTCCTGGACAGCTCCATGCTCCTTCACTCACCTCCTTCAGATGTCTGCTCAACCATCAAGTGTCTGACCACAGTCTCTAAAACAGAACACTTCCCCATCCTCAGGTCCTCCCCATAGCCTATTCTTGGCTTATTTCATAGCAGTTTATACATTTGCTTTTTACTTGCTTAGTGCAGTCACTCCTCAATCTCTACAAAAGCAGGAATTCAGTTTACTTAGCATCCCTAGAGCCTAAATAATCTCGAGAACTTAAAATCTCAGTATGTATTTGTTGAATGAATAGAGGAATAATTTAAAGATGATGCATTTCTTATACCTCAGTTTCTTCATCACATCACAGCTATATTGAGGTATGAATTAGACACGTATATAATGTGTTTATGAGGATTGAACAAAAAAATTTATGTCAAGTGCTCAGAGAGCTGCCTGACACATAATAAACTTGCAAAAAAATTACAGCATTGGTGTTCTTTTTACTATTCTCTAGATTTAAGTCAGTTGCTAACTAGACTTAGAAGTCTCTTTACTTCTCTCAATCCCATCGCCTAAATGGACAAGCAAACACACATCTCACCAAGGTGGTGTGAATATCAACTAGGGTCATGTCTAGGAAAGCATTTTGAGATCTCCAGCATTCATAAGATGTTTTTGCTCCCTGCAAACCAGAGACCACAATGACTGCGTAAAGTTGCCTTATTTAGATAATTATAGAGTAAGAAAACATTCTTGATCAACAAGCAGTAGTCACAAGCCAACAAATATATGTATTCAATTTTTATCTACCTCTTCTTCCTTGACATCATTATTAAATTTTAATTTGTTATTTCTCCCCAAATCTATTTCTCCTCATTTTAACAATAATAAGTGTCCTTTGGATCTGCCGAAGCCTCTTGCCCCCTGCCTAAGCTAAACCTTGACCTTAGATAGAGACAGTAATGTAAAATCTCTGAAGGAAATTTTTTAGTTTCCATGAAGCCAAAGGGAATATGATATCATTTTAGAATAGCATTTGTTTGAGAGTCAGAAGATGTGGGGCATTATTTGTCTTTATCTCTCCTTGGAGATGAATTTAAATGTCTCAGTGTCTCTATCTGTAATTCAGATGACTGAATCTGCTTCTCCATATCTGGGCTTGTCAAGCATCATTGCACAATGGTATAACCTGGGGGACCTGATTAAATATTAAGATTCCTGAGCCCACAATCCAAGAATTCTGATAGAGTAGTCAGGTGAAAACCAGGACTTGTATTCGGTAAAGCAGCCCAGGCAATTCCGATGCACTACAGATGCAGACGACTTCCAGGCTTCGTGTTGACAAACACTCCGCTGTAAGATTCCATCCAGGTCTGACAATCTGTAAACATTTCATTGGCCCTAACTCTCCCTGCAGCAACATCACACTTCAAGGGAGGCAGACTCCTTTAATTGTAGTTACGACAGGGAGGCAGACTCCTTTAATTGTAGTTACGACAGGATGACAATCTACATTCCTAGGAAGAAGCTTGTCAATCTCGTGACTGGGAACCCTAAACTGCTGCTGTTTCCAGAGAACAAACTGATGAGATTCCCAGAAACAGAGACTCTGAGGACTTCAACACTGCCAATACGCCACATATTCAAGCCTTTTAAAATGGGTAACTCTCAAGTTTGAACCAGGCTGCCTGTGTATCTTGGGCCTGGCACTGTTGTCTAAGCCCTCAGGCCAAGCATAATCTCCCCTTCCTCTGACGATTGACTGGCAGCCAGCCTCTTAAATGAGCGCGCACAGCCTTGTCCTTTTCTCTGCTGGCTGCCCCTGGCTGGCTACCTCTCCTTGGCAGTTAATTACGGTCCCAGCCCAGGAGCTACAGCAAAGTCTCATTGCCTGTCAGCATCCTTCCCCAGAGAGCAAAGGGAATGTAGAGGGCAAACAAGTCATAAAGCACTTTTATTATAAATAAATGTGATTGTGTTTTCAAAAGGGCCAGGTTTTAAGAGAGAGAATATGAACAATGCCTAGATGTGAATTTATACTCTCAGGTTGGCTCTGAGGCTCTGATGACAAAATGACACTTCAGCTACTAGGGAATACATAAGTTAAAAAGTGGAAACCTTTGGGGCAATGGGGCAGTATTCATCTATCCAGCAAGACAAATAATCCCACTGATATTTACAGAACAGCCATTGTGTATAGAGCCGAATCTTAAGACCTTTGGGCTGATAATATAAACAGCTACAACGTACTGAATGTTTACTATCTGTCATGGGCTGATAAGCGCATTTCATCCTGCCAGAGTCCCAGCTGCTTCACTAGCACCTGACTGGCCTGGAGAAGGTTATAAAACCCCTCTGTGTTCTTCATTTGTCAAATGGGACAATAATAGTATCTACCTTACAAGGGTGTATGTGTGAGTGTTAATTTTTGAGCAATTAGTTTGTGTCAAGCGTGTTAAGTGCTTTCATGCCATTATCTCATTTCATCCTCATTTCCACCTGCTGAGGTGGGCATTGTTATCCCTACTTTACAGATGAGGAAACTTCCTGGCCTATAGGAGGTGCTCAAAATTACTTGTTGAATGAATTTACATGAGTTTTTTTAAACACCTTTCCCCCAAACCCTGTGGCATAAGTATTGTTATAGTACTCACTTAGGTGAGAACTCTAGACTTGGGTAGAGAAAGGATTTCCAACCATGTTTGTCTGCTTCTTGGAGCAGCACCCTGAGCCACTAAGTTGCGGTATTTGCCCTGTTTGTCTCTTCTGTGGACACCATGAGACACTAATCCAATGGTTAGTGTGTATGAACATGCCAGGGGCTGCCCCAGGACTCTTTAACTCTCCCTCAGAGATAAACTATGGTTGCGTGAACAGCATAGGCACAGTGACAGAGGGAATGAATGGACAGGAGCAGGGAATAGGGTTCTCAGGGCAGAGGCAGCAGGGCAACAGGTCTGGGTTGCAAGGTTGAGAAGAATCAGCTCCAGACAGGAGCTGTCCCATTGGCACAGCCCTTCAGACTGCAAAGCATTTTCACACCAAGCCTCACAACCATCAGAGCAGGCCCGTGACAAAGACAGGGTGCAATTACTATTCTGCCTTCACTGAGGAAGAAAATGAGGTTCAAACTGTTTAACTCATTGAAGAAAATGAGGTTCAAACTGTTTAACTCATTTGCTCCCAGAGACACAGCTAGTGGAGGAGCCACGATGGGAATTCCTGTCTTCTGTAAGATGGTGGTGGTCAAGGTAATGCTCAATCTCTGATTCCATTGCCCTCTATTGCCTCTAGGGCATTCTCAGAAAATCAGCCAAATTTCTCTATCCTCAAGTGACTGTCCCCACAGCCCCCAGACACAGGTACCAAATTTGGGATGGGGTATATTTTCCTGTCTACTCCTTTAGTTCTGTTTTCAGGAAGCAAAAGTAGCTGAAAACAAGAAATTGTAAAGATAGAATCCTTTGCACTGAATTGTATAAGGTTGTATAGGATTTCCCTTGTAAGCAACCTTCCTAGAGCGACTCCTTCACATCTCCTCTCTGAGAGTTACTTTGTGCCCCTGACAATCCCTGCCAGTTTACTGTGTTCCTCCAGGAACATCCAATGCAGATAATCCAGGCCAAAGTTTATGTTAGCTTAGCTTGCCTTGATAACCTCTCAACCTTTTCCTTACCTTTGACTGAGCTGTCCAATTTTTAATCCTAGATTTCTAAGATCACTTTTAAAACTCAAATCATCACTATCTTTCTCTTGGCAGAATTTACATTGGCATTTTGCAAAGGCTAGGCCAGAAGTAGGACAGAATAGAAAAATACAACATGAGATCTATGTAAGATAGTCATACATTCTTTTTTCTCTGTCATAGTGTAACCTTTCCTTGGTAGGATTAAACTTTCCTGATGACCTTTTTTTTCCCATAGAACCTCTAGGATAGAAGGGATTTGGAAGCCTATCATTCAGAGCCCTACCGAGCGCTCTCCCCTTCACCCTGCCCCACCCTGCACCATTCTTTATCACTCTTTAGGCCCACATGCACCCCAAGTGTCTTCCACATCAAGATTAGATGCTGCCAATGCCAGAGAACACAATACATACTGAAGAAACTCAATTTTATCTTTGAACATCTCTTTCTGTTGGAAAAACAGTTACCATCTTAATAATGTAATATAGTAATGTTAGTCTTATCAAGATGATATGGAGACTTTTATATTTATGTTGCTAGTATTACTATAATAGTGTATAATATTACTATATACACAATATTTATTAAAATTAATATTGTAATATCCACCATGTATTAATAGTTATTAATCTCTTATGTGTCCCAGCTTTTCCACAGGGCTTTTGATCCATTGCCTATGTCAATCATCACAATAGCCATATGAGAATGATATCGACAACCCCAGTTTACAGATGAGAAAATTGAGGCT